TAGGATCGATCTCTCGGCCCGTCTCTTTTCCCTCCCGGATACATGTGCACATTGCTAGCTTCTGGACTAGCTAGGTATCTTTCCTACTCCTGGCAGTTGCCATCTGGGATAGAATACAATATAATATATAATTATATGAAATTTTTGATATGATTTCTATTTTAGCTGACGTTGATGCTAAGTATACCGTTGAACTTGTATATGAATATAAAAAAGAGGATGGTAGTGCCATACAAGATGGTTGTGAAGAAAGCTATAAAGAAAGTATTCAACGAACCATGGCTAAAGTTTCTTCTGACCTCCAGAAAAAATGTGTAGATACATACGATAACCCAGCAACAGTCTCTTCAGATGTAAAATCTGTTACAATATCAGGCAGTTCGGTCAGTACCTTAATGTATTATATTATTATTACATCACCATTTTATGCAATCTATGATTTCTATAAAATGAACAGAGAAAGTGTATACTCTTCTGTCTGTATTCTATCTACTGATAGCTATCTGGACTGTTGTCAGCTATTAGTAGTCGGAAGATGTTGCATTGTTGCATTCTGGACAAGTGTTATACCATCTTCCAAAAAAGTCCAAAGGTTGTAAATCAGAATAAATTGAATTAGTCCACCGCAAGATATATAATTATATTGAATTTATGGAAATTGATGGTGAAAATAAATCGGTTGGCTGGTTAGGGTTTCCGTATGTAATTTGTATGGGTAATAATCTAATTATTTTTTTTCCAGGTCTTTGCATCCTTTGTTATCCAGATTAATGGAAATCAAGCATCCAGTTGTGGGAACTTTTTCACTTTAGACTTAGAAAACCCAACCTTCTTCATCAACGGTTTTTATAAAGGTCCATACTCAGGAAGTGTTTGTTCTGTTATTAATGTTGTGGTTAATAATAACAAAGTCTCTGTAACTAATCCCTTTACAGAATTCTCCTGCGACAGAACTAGGAAGCTTGCAAACTTCAAATGCTGTAAGTAACTTTATTGAAAATAACCTTTTCTATTTATAACTGAAAGTTGTAGTAAAACAGTTTATTGTAGGTTTTAAAGTTTTATGCAACGTTTCGACATGTTTCCCCCGTCGTCCTCAGGCAAACACGTCGAAACGTTGCTTGAAACTTTAACCAGTGATTGTTGTTCCATAAAGCTGTGTCTATATATCGTACTTACAATCTCTAAATGACAATCAAGGAGCTATTATGAAAGCAATGTCATATAAAGTTGAACATTTCTATAATTACAGAAACAATAGACCTATTTCTCTCTTATTTTATCTTATTTCATCAAACTTTGATGGATTTTAATAAGGTGCAGAAAAGAAGCACTTCGAAAAACGATTGTTTTTGAATGAATTTCAGTACTATGTTCTGAAGGATATGAAAATATGAATTTAACGAGTGGTTTGATAGATTGCCAGCCGTGTGCTCGAGGCAAGTTTACCGTTGATGGAAATCGTCAGGTCTGTGAAATGTGTAGTATTGGTACCACTACCTATCTTACTGGTCGCTATAGCAACGCTGACTGTAAAGGTGAGCTAACATAATCTTCATAAATTTATTCTTTGAAAGGATAATGTATTTCTTTAATCAATCAGTGAATAATTCTTAATAAAATGGTTGACAGTCAGTATTAAAAATTAGAAATTTCAATGAAAATCCATAATTTTTTGCACTTTCTATTAATAGTACTCTTCGAGGTTTTTTTTGAGTAAAAACTGAGTACTATGTTAGTAATTGTATTGTAAATTAGAATAACCACATCTTAAAATTTCCTAATTGTCCACTCTTCAGCAAAGACACTTCATATCTTAGTATCTCTGCCTGGTTATTTTTCCACATTGCACACTATATGGTATTGTATGCCTTCATTAGCTTCATATCATACCTGTATATTGTAGGAAAATGTAGCGATGGGTCAGTCTCGGCCACTGGGCTAGCTCCATGTATTGAATGTCCCAGAAATACGTATTTTGTCAATGAAAGCTACTGTGAGCCCTGTCCTGGAAATGGAATAACTCGACAATCTGCTTCAACTAATCTCACTGACTGCAAAGGTAGGCTGATATTTCAACTATTTTTCATTTTAAAGATGATAATTCAGAATATGATTTTAAGAATGTAGTAAATCAGAGGTTGCCAGGTATGTGCTGGTTGTAATTTAAAAAGGTTTTATCGTGTCTAATGCTGAGTTCAAACCCCAGATAGTAAAGAGGTTTTCTAAACTTCTATCAGGGACACTAATAGCATCAATTTGCACCATTCCAATTTTCAATCAGACGTCTGTGGTTCTTGCAATTCCACTAAAACACATCACTTGTTGTCTCATTGTGATATCTGCGAAACCTTAAATATATTGGCAACAAGTTTGTTTATAAAGGAACTATTTTCAGTGGAAGGAGACATTATGTTATTAGGTCCCAGTGACAGTGGTAAGATCATTGTTTCACTGCCTGAAATTACTACATCTTCCATTCACAAACCATCTTCACAGTATCACGCTATTACAAACTTTGCCTTATACCTTGACTACAATAGCGACTATTCTTGTATCACTGAATGCAGCTAGTTGGTTGGATTGTACGCCAGTGAATACAACCAATTAGAGCCCTTGATAGACAGTGTGTAAACATTATGGCTTATTGTTTACAGACTTTCTTTTGAGGACTCTGATTAGCTGTATTCTCAAATATACAATCCAATCAAATACAAGAAAGGTGACTATTGCAGTCAAGGTATAAGACAAAGTTCTTAATAGATTGATACTGTGAAGATGTTCACCGATGTGCATGTTAGACCCTATACAGCTTTGCCCCATGAAGAATCTACCACAATGCCTTGATAATGCT